CCCGATACCAGAGATTTAAATATGGTATCTTCAGAAATTGAGAAAATATTAAATAAGAAGAGAATGAAAGTTGAACCTTGATGTGTGTCTACACATCAAGTGGTGAAGGAGGCACCAGAGAATGAGACTGTAACTGGTACAATTGCATGGTAAAGGTGAAGTGTAATACGAGGTTGGTAGTGGGGAGGCAGAGTAAGTGGATGCATTCTACATCCCAAACCAGTCCATCCTTCAAAGTCTAGTATGAATCTCACTTCCACCACAGCTTTCTCAGCCCAAGAGGTTGTTTTTGTCATCTGAACTAAAAAAAACTCATTGTCTACAATCCTCACTTGGCAATTAATTGTCCGTTACTGTAGAACATTATTTATTTTCATGGTATACTCATTGACTAGATGGCATAATCTTATAATTCTTTGAATCATCCATATGACTTTATCCATAGTAATTTGTTAATAGGTACATATTAATATCAATTTATCAATGAATTATAATATTTCTTAGCAACTACAAGATAGGGAATTCCCTCAACCCATTATGATATTTGTCTTTTTGTAGTTAGGCTTTATTCTGTGTGCTCAAGCTATGATGACTGTTTAAATAGCTCCCTCCCCCCCTCTCTCTCTCCCTTCCTCTGTCTGTGTCTGTCTCTCTGTCTTTCCAAACAATTACTGAACTCTGACTATGTGCTAGGAAAGCACTTTGCTAGAAGCCAGGAATACAGAGATGTGTGAGACCTAGTCTGAATTTCAAGAAAGTCAAAGTGTATCAGGGAGTCAGTTTGAGCCAGGATTGCTAAACACAAAGACTGGCCCCAATTGAGAGTGAGTCCTTGAGTGTATGATAAACACAAATGTTGCAATAGCCACAAAAATATGTGGAGGCATGGAGAGGGAGGCAATAGAGGATGTGTCTGAGGTACAGTGGGATAAGCAAGAGTAAGCCAGGTATAGAGACGACGTGGGGATGGAGCCATTCCAAGAAGAAAGGAGTGGAGGAGCAAAGGTTCTAATGCCAGAGAGCATGGTGTGTGTGTGTGTGTGTGTGCATGTGCACGTGTACATGCACGCACATGCACACCCACACCCATGTATCTACATGTGTGGAACTATGGGACTTCTATTCAAGAGGCATTCTCTGCATTCATCCTCTATCCGTTATGCTTAGTGGTAGCAGGAAATCTAGTAATTGCAAATTCAATGTCATATGGAAAAATGTCTAGATATCCATTTGTAATCTATCATTTCTGATAAGTTAGGTACCTTTTCAGAATATCATGTTTCTTTTTTAAGAGTTAGTACTTTGCTGTTATGTAATTTGAGCTCTGGGTATGTGCTAGAGATCATAAAATATATAAAAGAAAGCGCAAATGTCATAACTATGGGTAATTGTTAGGTAAGAGTCAGTGAAGTCTGCTTTTCCCACTTCTTTCACTTTAAGATGTATCAGAAAGCTTGATGCAAAACTGTTTGTTAGCAGTAACTAGTGTATGTCTTCAGTTTCCAACTTCTTAAACTTTTCCTCATTTTTGAGTGCTTCAAAAGAGTGATGACATTTGCCAAGCTTGAGACAGGGCATGGATAATAGGTGCCATTCATGAGAAATATTCAGTCACATCACAATGAAAGGTGGACACAGCATTTCTAGGAAGTTGATGTTGAAGTTGTTTCTGATTTCAGAATCGACCATTCAGTGTATTCTGTTTATGATACATTCAAGTGCTTCTAACTATGTGTTTAGGTGACTTAGAGAATCAGTGGTTAAATGGCATGTGGAGCTCATTTAAGAAACTCACAGAAGCTGAAATAAGGTAGTTGCTTAACAGCCAATATAAATGTTTATGGTGTTACCCATTATGGTGATTCAAGACCAGCAATGAAGCCATTCCCACCACCACTGCTACCAAAACACCAATGTGGTTTTTTCTGGAATCATTTCCGAAGACAGACAAGAAAATACATAGCTTTTGATAAAATTAAAATAGTGGAAACACACCTAAGAAATTTCCCTAGGAAGCTACCATATAGTTAAATGCTTGCTATGTACTTTTATAATTTCTCATCCATATTTGTTTCAACCTCTTCCTCTTCAGTGGTTTTCACTTTCAGTTAGCTGATTGGTAGAGTTGAAGGAGGAAAGAAAATCCTGATTGAAATGTGAGTTGCCATGGCAACTTTACACTAGTTATATTTTTCTGTCTGTAACTATAAATGGTAAAATGTAACCTTTCTAATTATACTGCTACATTTTTAACGCTATTGGTACCAAACACTCTGCGAAGTTTGTTGTCATGGTAAATTAAATCAATGTATTTTATTTTTAACTCAACCAAATTCTTTATATTAACTAGAATCTGTTTTATAAAAACTAAAGATTTTATAAAAATCTTAGTAAAATGTCAAAGTACAGTGACTTTAAAATTTTGTCTGAATGCCTAGAGATACCCATTGTAGGGGCTCCTAGATGGCTCAGCCGGCTAAGCGTCTGCCTCTTGATTTTGGTTCAGGTCATGATCTCAGTGTGGTGAGATCCAGCCCCACCTTGGCTCCAGGCTGAGTGTGAAGCCTTCTTAGGATTCTCTGTCTCCCTCTGCCCCTTCTCCTGCTCGAACATGCACTCAAGTACTCTCTCTCTCAAAAAAAAAAAAAGAAAAAAGAAAAAAAGAAAGAAGGAAAGAAAAGAAAGAAATACCCATTCTAGACGTTCAAAATAATTAAAACGTTAACCTAAAATAAGGTTTTGAATAACGTTATTTTTGAATAGTGTTGTTTGAATAGAATGAGGAGAAAGCTTATTCAAAATGTGTCAATGAAGGGCTTAACCTTTAGCCTCGGGTTAGTTGCTTTTTCAGTCCTATGAGGTCAACATAGTTTCTGATTTCATAACACTAGTTTTAAGTAATTCATATATTCAAACACAGCCAACAAAGGCATCCCTGCTTCCCCCCAATCCAGATTCCACCAGTCCTATTCCCTTAGAGCCCCCGTTGCCTCTCCTGCTCCTGGGGGAGCCCCTCAAAGTATGATGAAGTGGGGCATCTTCAGGTTCAGAAGCAGGGGCAAGGAAGAAGCTATGAGAACCAGGATACCTGGGGGCAAGTGCCCTGCCAAGTTACAGCTCCCTCTGCCCCAACCATAAAAAGCAAACAGTTTGATTTTTTTAAAAAGTGTATTTCACCCTTTAGTAGTATTGGTTGAAGGTCTATCAACTAGAGATGATAAATCTCACTCAGCAAAAAGCATGAAAATTCCAAGAGGTTAAAGGGGCTGTCTCTGGTCATCCAATTCTTAGTGTCAATGACCTAAATCATGTTTCTTTTCTGCTAGAACTGGGCAGAATTGAGACATGCTGAGGTATGGTGGCTTCAATTTCATGAATAGGGGATGGCTTTGGAGCAAGAAGATGGGGCATCCCGGGTATGGTGTAGTGTGGGTGACAGGAGCATTCTGTGAGCATTCTGTGACATAGGAACTGGGCTTCTAAGAGCCTAGGAGGAGGGAAAAGTGGGTAGGGGGTGCAAGAACCCACACTGTACTTAGGAGTGTCTGCACATTTGGTGGCACTTCTTTGTCTTCTGATCTTTCTTCTTCCTCTGTCAGGAATATACAGAATATTAGATACATGGAGTCACACAGTATATATAGCCTTTTGAATCTGGCTTCTTTCACTTAGCATAATTCATGTGGGATTCATCCATGCTCTTGTGTGCATGAATAGCTTATTCCTTTTCATTGCTGAGTAGTATTCTATTATATGGAGCTACATAGTTTATTTATCCATTCACCTGGTGATGGAAATTTGGGTTGTTTGTATGGGCTTTAAACATTCACATACAGGTTTTAGTGCATACATGTTTCTTGGTATGATCATTTCTCTTGAGTAAATGCCTACACGTGGGATTGCTAGGTCATATGGTAAGCATACGTTTAACTTTATAAGAAACTGCCAGTTTGTAAAATGGCTGTACTATTTTGTACCCCACCAGCAACACATGAGAGTTCAAGTTGTCCCATTTCCTTAACATCACTTAGTACTGTCAGCTTTTAAAAGAATTATTTTAACCATTCTAATAGGTGTGTAGTGTAGCTCATCCTGTTTTTAATTTGCATTTCCCTAGAGACTAATGATGTCAGGCATCTTTTCATATGCTTATTTGTTACCTGTACATCTTCTTTGGTGAAGTATCTGTTCAAATCGTTGGCCTATTTTTTCACTTGTGGTTTATTTTCTTACTGTTGACTTTTGAGTTTTAAATAATCATGTACTGCTTAAAAGTCCTTTGTCAGATACGTGATTTGCAAATATTTTTCTCCCAGTCTGGCTTGTATTTTCATTCTCTTAACAATGCATTTTACAAAGCAAAAGTTTTTGATTTAGTGAAGTCCCACTTACCACGTTACTATTATTTTTTTTAGTTAATTGTACTGTTGGTGTCATATCTGAGAACCCTCTCCCTAACCCGTGACCACAAAGATTTTTCTTCTAAAAGTTTTGTATTTGTATGTTTTATATATAGGTCTAGGGTAGACTCCTTTTTAATGCTAAAAGTTTCTACAACTTCACCTGATAATAATTGGACTGTTTTTATTATGTCTTTGAGAAAATATCTAAGGATCAAAAGCTGCTATGAGTTCAGCAATACTTAAGATTTTGTGTCACTTGTGTTTATTGACTGGAAAATATTGACATATTTTCTTATAAACCTGACATGAATTATGCTAATTTAAATTGTATTAACCACAGTTGCATCTACATACATTTGGAAAGTGCAGTATATAAATGTGCAAGGTGCTTAGTCTACAGCAAGTGCTCGGGGCTCTTTGAGTTGAAGATGCCTTGCAATAATGCTGCCTTCCCACAGTCATGTAATGGTTTGCCAGCCACAGACCTGGACCGATCTTCTCCTTTTATAAAGAAGCAGAGTTTCAGAGAATCAGCTCTCTTTCTAGTTAGTGGCAAAGCTAGTCTAGAACCTAGGTCTCTGGAATTGGAGTCCAGTGCATGCTCTATTGTTGTGTTATGGTTTATTGAAATGGCCACTATGAAGTGAGACTTCATTACAGTAATCATTCTTTTGAACATATGCCTTGCATTCAATAAGCTCTTTGAGAGCAGAGACCACATCTTTTCTAGTTTTTAAACACCCAATTTTGCTCTGCATTGCTACGTGTCCTAACATTATACCTGGGGCATTTGTGGTATAAGTGCCCATTGAGCTAATGACGCGGTCCTTGGGCAAGGAAGCAATCCAGGACAACCTATCATTATTAGATTTTCACTGGGAATACCGGGAATAGTATTGGTTTGATGCAGTAGGATATAGAGAAAAGCACATGAGATTCAATATCAAAAAAACTAAGTTGAAACCCTGGCTGAGCTACTTACTAGCCACCATGATGCAGGGAAAATTACTCAACCTTTTTGACTCATTGAAAAAAGCATCTCCATGGGAGAGATGTATGGATGGACTAAAATAATGTTTGTGAGAGCTTGACAAAGTTAGCATGGTACTGAAACTAAAAAAATGTAAGTTCCATCTCCTTTGTCATTGTTGTTAAAAATTCTGTGTGTGGGAAACAAGGGCTAAGTGTGATGGAAAGTGAAAACAAAACTCAGAGTTAAATATTAGAGTCAATTATTCTTGTTTCAATTTGGGCGTGTGCTGCAGTAATGAAATGCTCTTCACAAAGGCAGTCAAACAGAATTTACAGAGCTGGGCATGTTGTGCAAAAAAGCTATAATGGAAAGAAGTGATCTTTGTAGCAGCACGTGAAAATAAAGTAACATAAACCACTTCACAGGGTTATTTCTATTAGCTCTGGCCTTTGGACTATTATCTGCAAGTTTTCCCATTTCTTGTGAAAGCTGCCTTTTTATTCCTGAAAGTTATTCTTTATAATCATAGTCACTAATGTGGTGGTGTCGATCCTGCAAAGGTCTTGGGGGCTTGAGGGAAAGACAGAGGGTAGAGCCAGGGGTCAACTTAGCCAAGCTTAAACATTGCATCTCAAAGTGGTATTCAAACAGGATCATTCCACATCCATGTCCCTTGTTTCCTTCTCTTCAAAACATTCTGGGCCACAGCTTCCTGCCTCGCTCTTGCATTTTAATCCCCCTGCTTGGCATCTCATCAAGCTCCTGGCATGGCATGAATGACTTCTCTCATTGCCCCTAAGGGCTTGGCTTCTGTCATCTGTGGCTGTCATTGCAGAGATGCAAATGAAAGCTCCTTTGAGGTGAATTGAAGTCAATGTGGCATTGCCTAGCCCTGGCCCAGCGGGGGTCTAAATGCAGCACCCTCGGAAATAAATATGCTCCTCTGCTTCTCTTGGCCTGCACAACTGCATGCCCACCTTTACTTTCTGGGTCGTCCCAAACCATATCCACACCATGTACCCAGATCTACTTCTCTACCCATACCTCTTTCCCAGATACACCCAGTCAATATTTACCCACCTCTCTGAGGGCTTAGCCATTGTAACATGGAAGAAATGTAGCTTTTCATCAATGTGATTCTGGCATAAGCAAAGTTTGGCACCATCCTATTTCTCATTTTTGTAGTCCTCCTTTCCATCTTGTTACCTCTCTCCTGCCTATTCTCAGATATCCAGTACCCTGTGCAGACTTACTAGCCAGGACTGACCACCTTCTACCCCTTTCCTCTATCCCTGGAAGAAAAGTGTATAATCAGCTAATCCACCCAGATACACGAAAGACACATTATCACTTGTGATTTCCCATTATCCCCAACACAGAGATATTTTTTGAGAAGAGAAGATGATGGTAGTTCCAATAAAATAATATTTAGTTGTAAAATCTAACACTAAACCAGAACAGGGAGACTGTTCTTATGTAAATTGTTTTCCAGGCATATCATGTAACACCATAACTCATCTGAGCTCCTGGCACCTACTCAGTATTCAGTAGTGGAATTAACAGTAAAGTTCTCCAGTGGGACAGCTAGATTTGAACATATTTTATAAGTTTCAGGCCCCTCTTCAGTACTCATTTCCTTCCCCACCAAGTAGAAATCCAGCCAGTCACTCCCTCTTTCAACACATCTTTATTGGGCACCAAAATTATACACAGTCCTAGTACTTGGGATATAATTATCCTTCTAGGAGCTTTCAGCCCAGTATGGAGACAGAAAATTATGTGTAATCCAGAACAGTGTGATACGGTCCATAAAGAGGGTGTGCTATGGGGAGACATAGGGATGTATCGAACACAGCTTTGGTTACCACCACAGACAGTAACACCCAAGCCAGGTCTGAAGGGCAAGGAGGAATTATTCCAGGGGAAAAGGAGAAGCATGTAGGCCAGAGAGCAGAGAACATATGGTGGTGAGGGTGGTTAGGAGTGCAAGCGTTTTGGCACAGCTCCAGTATTGGGGCTCATGTGGGGGAACACCAGCTGCAGCACTAGACATAGAGGGAGCACTTACTGTGAGCCAGGCAGAGCTTGAATGCTCTGCAGGCCCTTCTCCTGGCTTCGGTGCCACCGTCCACACAGGAGCCAGGAGACTCGCCATGCTCCCTGCTCCGCTGCCTGCCCATCACCCAATCACTACCACACTCTGCGGAGAAAGATTTAGAACTAATTGCATCATGTCCTCCATCCTTATGGCCATGGATCTCCCAGGAGAAGCCCAGTCTGATCATTGCTTGTCACCTGGACTAGCCCCAAAGAGCTCCGTCTATCACTGAGCTTGACCCAACCTAACAGTAGCCTAACCACTCAAACCTTCCACAGTAACTCCCTGGATGTGTCATCTATTATCATCACGACTAGCTGCTGTGCACCTCTTCGACTCAATGGCACTCACCTCTGTTGGGCTCTCCCAGAGGACTTGGCTTCCACGAGTCCAGAGGAGGAGGAAAGGTCCTGTTTGCTCCTCTTTGCTACCACTTATCAATTTTAGCTTTCTCCTCCCTAAAACTTCCCCATCTTCCTTGAAATTGTGGCATCAGGAACTTCTCTTCCTCATTGCAGTCATCTGCAGGTCTCGGAGTCACTCACTTGCACACTTTGAAGACTCTGGCACCAAGCTCATTGTCTGTCTCACACGCGTCTCCTGTCATAATGCTTGGTGATTTCCAAATCCATGTGGAGGATCCTTCCCCACCCTGACTTTCTCACTTTCTTGATCTTCTCTCCAATGATCTCATCCTTTGCCCTACCTCAGCCACCCATAGATCTTGCCCTTGTGAGTAACCATAAATTTTCAAAATTTCAAAATCTTCCCATTCTGCTTCCACTCTCTATCTACTGCATTTAGCCGACTCTCTCCAGTCCTCTGATTCCAGAAGTTTCTCAGCTTTGCCCCTGCCAACCACCAATCCACTGACTTTTCACATTCCCTCTTCCCTCATATCCTCTGTTCCCTCCATATCCATCTCAGATCCCATGGTCCCTCCTTATCATCACTTCCTCACATCCCCCTTCCCCTCCTTCACCACCATTCTCTTCGTTGCACTCACTTGTCTGAATTATAAACTTAGTTAAATCCAACTCTCTGTTTTGCCTGTTTCTGCCCCCCTAAGCAGCTGAATGTGGCAAGAGAAAACAATGGCAGCTAGCTTTATTTTAATTCCATGACCACAAACCTCAACTGAGCCACTGGTGCTGCCCAAGAATTCCTAGCAAAACATGCAGGGGGAGGCTTATGGAGCCCAGATTATCTACTTTGTAGAGTGCCTTGTAGAGTGCCTCAGTCGGTTAAGCGGCTGCCTTC